TCTCTCTATCTATCTATCTATCTCTCTCTCTCTCTCTATCTCTCTCTATCTCTCTCTATCTCTCTCTCTCCCTTTTTTTTCCTACCGCTCTCACACATCTCTCTTAAAACGATTATTTCAGGATATCTGGTCCCCACATTAGCCTTAGTACATTCCCGTACTACATCGATGCTTCTTCCCCACCTCCGACAGTTCATTCTTTCAGCTCTGGACCGGAACCACCAAATTATGCAAACTCGGCGGCCGTTCAGATTCTCTTTTTCAAGCGCATTCGAAATGCACTTTTTTTTTTTTATTTACCCCTGAAACAGAGCCAAAGAGTAACTACTTAGAGTACAAAATAGCAGGTGTTGCTTGGTAGATGCGGTTATGTACTGGATTATTCTACACCTAGGTATTGTAAACAAGAATTAGCGGGCAGGGAAAATGTGATCAGCAAGTCGACGGGCGACTAATGATAATAATTACTTATTAGCGCCAACGAAATATGAACGTCGAAAGCCATTGGTTAGGTATTACCGGGTTTGCTCTCCCCCAACGCTGATTGGTTGTTCCAATAATGTTATGTAATCCGTGACGCATGGGGCGAGAAATTATGGGATGTCCGTCTGCCTTTAGCTGTGGATGCTACAGCGGGCATTTAAGACAAATGATTGAACGGTTTTACTTAAAACAACAATACAGTATTTCCTGAAACCTTCAGATAAAATACGATAAAGCGAAAACGAGCTAATGATCAGGAGAAATTCTTCTGGGGCGGGTGGTTGGTGGGTGCTCTGGTGGTTTGTTCCTTCTTTGCTATCAAACATCTATCGTCATTATCTCTCTTCCTTTTTTTGTGTGTAAGTTACTCTCCTGTAACTTCTAATCTTCAGTATTTAAATGACCTAATTGTGTTGCAAGTGCCGTAGAAGTAAAACTAAAACTAACGGGCCGACGCTATGTTTGATGGTTTAGCTGACAACATCGTGTGCAATGAAAGTGCACCGTTCCTTGTCTATGTGTTTAGGAAAACAGAGAATACAATAACCTTGACCTTGACCATTAATGATTTATTTATAGAGGCACCAGCCATCCATGTATAATACAATTATATTTCATATGCGGAGATGTCAAATTTGGTATTTTGTGTCTATCTTACAAGAACCCCATCCAATAACCATCCAGGGTCTATTTGTGTGTGTGTGGGGGTGTGTGGGGGTGTGTGTGTGTGTGTGTGTGTGTGTGTGTGTGTGTGTGTGTGTGTGTGTGTGTGTGTGTGTGTGTGTGTGTGTGTGTGTGAGTGGGTGAGCGAGTGAGTGAGTGAGTGAGTGAATGAGTGAGTGAGTGAGGGAGAGAGGGAGGGAGGTAGGGAGAGACAGGCAGACAGATAGACAGACAAACAGACACACAGAGAGAGAAGGAAGGGAAGGGGGGAAATTGTTTTCGAGTGCATGCGTGTGTAGGTTTTAAGCAAGCCGCAGCAAATTTCCCTTTGTGGAGATCAATAAATTGCTATCTTATTTTATCTTATCTCTGCAGCGTGGTTAGCTTAATGGATTGTGAGATTCCGGGATCGGGGGCTCGCGCCTCAGCTCGGTCCGACGTTGTGTCCTTGGGAAAGGCACTTAACCCGTATGTCCCATTTGTCTCGGTCCTTTCGGAGAGACACGTTAAACTCTTAAGTCCCGCCTCTTAAATAACCTTATAGTGTTGATGGGAGAGTTAAACTTATCCCATTCACCATTTATTTCGTCTTATCTCATCTATGTTATTATAATATCTCGCGTAATATTTCATTATCCAAGCGGATGGTTTGGAGAATGCCACTGATAGTACTGTACTTTTTCCCTGCACTAAATGGCCATTATTGTGTCGATGTGCTTTTCTTTCCTCAAACTCAAACGATGTGGAGATTTATAAAATTCTTATTATCTATTTTGTTATAATATGTCTCATTATCTATTTCATTATCTACCATTCAGCGCTCATATGACCGTATGTAGTTGCGAGCGCCGTAAAACTCTTTCCGCGGGTGGTTGAAGGGCGCCACTGGCAGGTCCTACTTCTTTACTTTCCCTCTCTATTGTTTCTGTCTGTCTTACTTTTTGACCAGCGCTAAATTACCATTATTAAGCCGATATTATTATGCTTCTCTTTGTGGGTGGTTGGCGGGTGCTCTGGTGTGGTTTGCTTCTTCTTTCCTATCAAACACCTATTGTCCTGATTTCTCCTTCTTCTTTTTTTGTGTTTGTTACTCTTTTGTAACACCTCAAAAATTCGGCACTTAAATGACCTTATTGTGTTTGCAAGTGCCGTAAAACTCTTACTAAAACTAAAAGCTTCTCTTTACTCAAACAAACAAACAAACAAAGTGGGTGGTTGGCGGGTGCTCTGGTGTTGTTTGCTCCTTCTTTCTTATCAGAAATCTATCTCTTCTTTATCTCCCCTCCTTCTGTTTTGTGTTTGTTACTCTCTTGTAACACCTCTAATCATCGGCACTTATATGACCTTATTGTGTTGCAAGTGCCGTAAAACTCTTACTAAAACTAAAAGCTTCTCTTTACTCAAACAAACAAACAAACAAACAAAAATTCTGACCGAGCTGAAACATCTACCCTTCTGTCACCCCCCGGGGCGGTGCTACTTACTGAAGTGTCTTTATGACATTCCCAAAGTGGGGGGGGGGCATTAACATCTCGAGTTCTTATGCACAGTGGAATTGTAATTGTAAGTGGGCTGATTCATCAATGCCATGCTCATGCTGTGCCTGAACTGCAACAGGGAACTGCTGCTTTTTCTTTCCTAATCCTTATTATCGTCATTCTTCCTCTAATTCTTTTGTATGTTTGTGACCCGCTATTTCCGTGGTGCCTTGATAGTCGAGGCAGACTTTGTGCTGTTGAAGCTAGAGAGGTGAGCAGAGTAAGCCTGATTCCCTGCAAGGACTCCTCTGTTGACATCCACATCTTGGCGCTCATAAGACCTTATGCAGTTGCGAGCGCCGTGAAACCTCTACCAAAACTAAACTACCCTTGTATTTGCTAGGTGGACTTCGGGTTCGCCAAGAAGATCGGCGTGGGGAAGAAGACGTGGACATTCTGCGGCACGCCGGAGTACGTCGCTCCGGAGATCATTCTCAACAAGGGCCACGACCACTCGGCCGACTACTGGTCGCTGGGTATCCTCATGTATGAGCTGCTCAATGGAACGTAAGTCTGTTGTTGTTTGGCCTGATCTATGTCTGTTTGTCTGTCTGTCTGTCTGTGTGTCTGC